CATCTGCGACGGCAAGCCCCGATCGTTTCCATTCCCATTCCCCTCCTTCACATTCTTTTGGTCTTGTTCTTGCTGTCGTTGTCCCTGCTGCTGTGTTTTTGAATAGCTGTCCAAGCACCTTTTCTCCCTACCTAACAAATCCAGCTCACTCTCTGAAGCCCTTTTTGTGAAAATACCCTGCATTTCCACCGCGCTCGGCCCCTCCAGATTGCCCTTCCCATCGCTCTTTAGCGGCATGGAATCTTTCTTCTCCCCTTCTACTCCCTTCCCTCCCCTCTGCACAGAGGAATACCGTCTGCGGAATTGACAGCGCAGGCATACTGACGCAGTCGCATACACATTGTAATTATTATTACGATGGCGCGCACTGACAAACCATTGATGTTGCTTTCGGGCGCCTGGTGGGAGGAATGGAATTGGAGCTGTGGACGCGCATGCAGTTCTCGTAGTAGTAGTGGATGTAGTTATAAATTTTGGAGCGGATGTTTTGGTGGCGGTGACAGCGTTTGCGGTTGTGGACGACCGTGAGAGATTTATCGAAGAACGGAGGAGGGATTGTCGGAATATTGGTAGTATGGGTTGCATGGTGAGGTGGAGACTGTCTTTGTGGCAGAAGACAGCTTCATGGGCGCGGGAGGAGGGGAGGGGAGGGGATTTGTTGTTGCTGCGGTTGGTTGTTGAAATGATAAATGGTTGGTTGGTTGGTAGCCTCGGGGCCCTCGTTGGCGAACACCGAGAGATTGGACATTTTGTTTTGCTTTTTTCTCTTTGGGATCATTATTCCACACAAATTCGATCCCATTGGCAAGAATAAGCCACAGAGGATATTAATTGATTTATTGAGTTGCATTTCACCTGTAGTGAAATACGAAAAATGATTTTTCGTATTCACAATATCGAACTGGGCAAGTTTTTTACCCGCAGGATATGGACAATACTGCTGATATTACACCACTTTTCAGAAATCCAGATCTTCATCATCTTGCCAGTAATACACTCATTCATTTAAGCAGTCTTCCTTTGTAGAAGTCATCTCACATTATAATATAAGAAGAACCATGCCAGTCAATATTCAGCACGTACATAATAGCTCCACTCTTTGCGATGGAAAAAGGAACGAGATGCGAGAAGAAGTACCATATCATTACAAATCGGCTGCACCCCAACCCGTAGCCCCCTCCGCGCCCCACGCGAATAAAAAATACAAAGTATATTCAAGGAGCAAAACTGATTATTTTCAGACATCGGCCACGCTGCCAGCGAGGAGAAGAACGCTCAAGACAACAAGAACGAATTTGTAACATCGACGGGACGAGAGAAGAGTTGTTGGAAACGGGGTTGAGAACTGGAGGCCAATACGGGAATTGAAAAAAACTACACGAACCTAGTATTACAACAACTACAACAACAAGAAGAAGAAGAAGAAGAAGAAGAAGCAACGTATAGGTTTTAGTAAGAAGCCGCAAAAATGGTCACAGAAAGAAAATAGCCATATCTACACGTCGACAACAAACATAGATCTGGCACCAATCTCTGAGTGCCGGGAGAAGTGGGGTCCATATAAAGAGGAGAAGTTCGGTTTTTCACCGTAAATGAGTGAGGAAGCTTCGTCACCTGCTGTAGACTGGATTGGCTTGGTTGGATGGCAATGCGCTTGGGATAGACTGCTCTAAAGTTCGGCCCCGA